CCGAGACCTCTGAGCAGGCCTGCCTGCCCCCCCTCTCGCTCGCCCCCCCCCCCTCGCTCGCCGCCGAGCTGCAGCCAGAACGCGTACTGTCATCGGCCTGACCTAAGGAACGATAAATAAGGAACGAAGCCCCTTTTTATCCCAAGGAATAACGCATGAGGAACGATAAATAACAAATAACGCATAAGGAACTGTAAGTAACGCATGCAAGCCTAAGGAACGACCGAGCCCCTTTTGAAAAGTAAGTGTTCCTTATTCAAGCCGCTCACTGTATTGAGGACGGGTGGCAAGGGCGCAAGACCCTTGCAGGCCCGCACTGGGATCTTTTGGGGCGGCGGGCGACCAGCGAAAGCGGCAAGGGACGGGCCGCGAAGGCAAGGCTTCAAGGGCACCCTGGATGAAGGCGTGCGTCCTTGCTAGGCGCGTGAACTGTAGCTGACGACCTACCAAGCCTCCCCAACCCAGCCCGAAGCCCCAAACATCGGGTTGGGGGGGGTACGGGTTCCGTGTGTTTGCTCAATGCACCCCGACGCCCCCGCCACTGGGATGGAGGGCGAATTGGGGCCCGCGGGTTGGGTTGGGGTAGTTTGGTGTAGTGACTAGTGGAGGGTGAGGAATTGCGTGAACATGCCTCGTCGGAGGTCCGCGCAGATTTCTTGGACGGGCAGCTCATCGAATCGAACCCAGCGTCGCGGCGAGGGCCCTGGGCTGGCCAAGGCAGTGATGAGAGGATGATTGGCCGCTGTTCAGCAACTTCCTTCCCATTCGAATGGTTGTCCACCATGCAGGTCCTGGAGGTATCTGGGCATGTGCTCCGAGCCCCCATGGTAGACTCAGCGCTCTAGCCTGCAACAGCACGCGGTGGCGTTTGCCACCCGAGGCGGGGACGAGTTCCAACAGGCGAAAGAAAATCGAGACTCGATTTGGCACACGTGAACCTGCAGGTGTATTCCTCCATACGCTAACAACTGATCGCGTGTACACATGCACCCTCTGCCTCGGGCACGCACACACACAAGCCTCCAGGCGCATACATGTCCTGCTGCTCCCATCCATGTGGCCCTGCCATTCGTTGGGGGGGACACATGTGACATAAACTGGCGTCTTTACTTGGCAAGGGGGCAAGGGCAACTCGCCACAACCATCCTTGACGTGTAAAACCACACCAACTCTGCGGTGGAATGCAGCACGATGCATTCTCACCACGCACCCCGTGATTTCTTCGAACACGTGCTATTATGCACCTCCACGCCGCAAGCACAAAACTCCGAACTCGAATCAAACCCCACACCCGGCCTGCAACGTGGATCCGGACACATGTTGGCAACCTGGAGCATGGAGGAGGAGGAGGAGGAGGAGGAGGAGGAGGGCAACCCTGGAGCCCTGCCAACATGCGCCAGGCTTGCCCCAAACCTGGAGCCCTGCCAACATGCCCTGCCCCAGCTGTGCAGCCGAACGCTCTGGCTGGCTAGCGACGCACGTCGGTCCACGGACGCCAGTCCGCCGACCTCTGGGTGCGGCACTCTCGCTGTGCTCACCTCGATCTGAAGCTACACGTCCACAGCCAGCTACGCTGCACGCCTGATCGCCCACCCCATGCCTTGCGCTGATCTCCCCGCAGGCATCCCAACCTGTGACGGCATTCTTCAGAATGGTGAGACAGTGTTCCGAACATCCTGCGCGGCACGGTAGCGAATGTCCCGCATGCAGAGCGAGCATAGATAGCCATCTGGACGACAGTGAGGGCTGCAGAAGATCTGCGCCAGCATGTGGCCATCAACAGGCACGCATAACAACACACGAACGCCACATTTGCCCTGAAACTGCAGCGGCAACACGCCACATGGGCACGAGCAACCTCTGCAAGCATGATACACATACGACGAAGCCAAGACATTGACAGACCCTCCGTATCTGAACCCATGCGGTGCACTTCGAACTTCTGACCCGTCAAAAACCTTGGAGGCGCAGGGGGCGGCCACAAACTGCTGACGTGCTGATGCTTCTGACGCTCCGCGGTCCATGACGTGACACTCCTGATGCTCCTGACGCCTCTGACGCTGCGTGGGGAGTCGGAGGGGGCGTCAGGAGCGTCAGGAGCGTCAAAGGGGCCAGCGTCGTCAGGAGCGAGAGGGGCGTCAAGAGCGTCAGCGTGGTCAGGGGCATCAGGAGCGTCCGGGAGCGGCCACCCCTCGCTGGGGGGGCTCAAGCCAAAGGCCTAGCACCATCTTCCTGCTCCTCCTCAATCTCTTTCCTCATGCAACAGCTCCGCCTCGCCTGACCACTAGACGTGTCGGTAGGGCGAGGAGGGCGTTTCGCCTAAGACTTCCTTCCTGCTTATACCCCGAAGCTTGCCATTTCCAACTGTTGCACGGTTGGAGGGGGGCGTGTTCAACATGTGGCCCTCGCCTTAGCGCCGCGCGCATTAGTCAACACATCTTCCAACAGCTACAATAATGGATGGGGCTGTGGTTTTCACACTATGCTTTCGCACTAGCGAGGCGCAATTTCGTCTTACATTGCTTTGACTTCTTACCCTGAGGGAGGGGGGTCGTTTTCACAACGTGGTTATCGCATTAACGCCGCGCGCAAGCGTCTTGTACAAAGTTTACACGATTGGGGGGTCAGCATGTGGTTTTCGCCTGAGCGCAGCGCGTGTCCACCTCGAACTGGTTTGAACAATTGCACGGGCGGATGGATGTGTGTTCAGATCGCGGTTCTCGCCTGAGCGTCGCGCGCATTGATCTTCACAGCTTCCAGCAATTACGTGCCTGGGGGGGGGCAATATGTAGCTCCCACTGTAGCGCCGCGTGCATTCGTCTTAAAACTTCAAACACGGGGTGAGGAAAATTCTTGCTTTAAACGTGCTCCTGGCCGTAGTCGCGCACATGTGTCTTAAACACTCCCAACTGCCAGCCGTTACATGGGTGGCGGGCGGTTCCTGTTCAAACGATGCCTCTCGCCGCCTCGCTGTGCACATCAGCCTTAAACGCGTCACTATGTCTGCGGATGGAAGGCTGTTCAATTCCAACATAGCATGTTCGCTAGCGACTTCCTCCGTATTGATGTTCAGAATGGCACCAGGGAGTGTAAGGAAGCTCCTTGTCAAACTGATGTTTTCGCTTGACACTTGTATATTCGATGGTCACGCGAATACAACGATGGTATTTCTAGCGAAAGCGTCAATGCCACTCGAACTCGCCTGGTGATATATGCGCCTACCTCGTCACCGTCCGTATAGCTAGAAACACGGATGACAACCTATGTTTAAACCGTTGCTCTCGCAATCGAGTGTCGAAACAACACTGGCAGCACTTATTTTCACTATGGCAAGACAATGGTGCACTAGTTTTTCAACAAAAACACTTCCAGCAATGATAATCCATTTTTGTAGCGGCGTATGAGGATGACTGGGGGCGGGTGGGCCTACGTATTGCAGCATGGTCGTTGCATCTTGGATGTACCCTGCTCGACGTCATCCTCCCCCGCTTTCTCCTGTAATGGAACACCGTCGGCCCACTGGGCAGCAAAATGTCGTCGCCCTGCTCCCCCCCCCTTCTCATTCTCCTCATCGTCCCACATCCTCCTCCTCCTCGTGCTCCTGCTCCTCCTCCCCGTCTTCCGTCTCCCGTTCTACTCCTCCTCCAACCTGGGCCTCGCCCGCACTTAAGCGGGAACGTGTTCTCACAACGTCTCTTCGTCGTCGTCGTCTTCCTTCTCCTTCACATCCTCTTCCTCTCCCCCCGCACGTAAGTTTCATTTGGAAGTCAACTGATACGTGCTCCGAATCATTAATTATCCTTCTTACCCCCATTCCACCTCCTCCTCTTCAACCTTCTTCTCGTCCTCCGTCGTCCTGCTCCGCTTCCTCCTCTTCCTTCGAAGCAATTGCGGATATGAGAGGGGGAACGAAGAGGGAGGCGGATGAGGAACCGGAGGAGGGATAAGCGGAGGAGGAAACGGTTGTTGTTTTTTGTTCTCGCTAGCTTGTACGCTATGGTTCCTCGTCCGTGTGTCCGTCAGCCAGGCGCACAGCGGGCAGGTGCAGCATCGGGGCGCGGGGAGGGAGCAAGAACAGGACAAGGAGAGGCAAGACGTGTGCCAGGCGCAGCGGCAGGGTGCTCCAGTGAACGGTCGGCGCTCCCGTGGCGCGCGAACGACAAGGACAGCAGAAATCACACTCCCTCGAAACCCGACGACGGTGGTGGTCGTCGTCGTCGTCGTGGCCGTCGTCGTCGTCGTCGTCGTAGTTGTCGCCGTCGCCATCGCCGTCGTTGCCATCGCCGTCGTCGACGTCGACGTCGCCGTCGCCGTCGCCGTCGCCGTGGCTCGTCGTCGTCGTCGCCGTCGCCGTCGCCGCCGCCGTCGCCGCCGCCGTCGCCGTCGCCGCCGGCGTCGCCGTCGCCGTCGCCGTCGCCGTCGCCGTCGCCGCCGCCGTCGCCGTCGGCGACAGCGCCGGCGCCGGCGCCATGGTGGGGGACCCGTCCCACTTCGAACGCCCCCTGCAATACAGGTGGGGGGATCCTGCGCGCGTCGTGTGTGGTGGTGGTGGTGGTGGTCGTCGTCGTCGTCGTCGCCGTCGTCGTCGTCGCCGTCGTCGTCGTAGTTGTCGCCGTCGCCACCGCCGTGGTCGCCATCGCCGTCGCCGTCGGCGTCGGCGTCGACGTCGGCGTCGGCGTCGGCGTCGGCGTCGGCGTCGGCGTCGGCGTCGCGGTCACCGCCGCCGTCGTCGTCGTCGTCGCTGCCAGACGGCGACGGCGCCGGCGCCAGCGCTCGCCGTCGTCGATGGCAAGGGGGGGGGGGCCCTCCAGGTTTGACCCCCCCCCCGCAAGTTGATGGGGCCGCCCCCCCCCCCGGCTGGACCCCCCCTGGTTCGAACCCCGAGGTTCCCTTGGACAGAAGGGGGCCCCCCGTCCCTTCGAACTGCCCTACCTTTTGGGCCGGGGGGGGGGCACCCCCGGTTCGAACCCCCCCCCTGTAACTCAGGTGTGGGGGGGGGGCCTGTCCCCCCGTTCGAGCCCCGCCCCACCCTTGAAAGGCCCCGTCCCCCCCCCACCAGTGTCGAACCCCACATACTCCTTGCATCTCAGGGGATGCCCCCCCCCAGTTCGGCCCACCCTTCAACGTCCACAGAGCGCGCTCTTCCGGTCATCGATAAGACTCTCCACATCGCTGTGCTGTGTTGGTGCTAATCCAATTCGCATTGCCATCCGGATTGTGGCCTTAAGGATAGCAGTTGCCATCCTTTTAAACTATCCATGCTTGAGAAAGTATGTGCGAGGCACAAGGCAAACCTCTTCTTTGTGGCAGATAAACATATCGATGCAACCATGTTCGCTGACTGGGCTTTTCTTGATTGAGCGCCGCCGCTGTATTTGCTTCGCCAATTTAGCGTGCGAGCCAAACCCATCAGGGAAACTGATCAATAATTCACGCAATCTAACTCTGCCGGAACAGAACCTCGATTCTGAGAACTGCCCGCTTCCCCACTGATGGGGAAGGGGGCTCCGCCGTGCTCGTACAGGCCGAGACGACAAGGTAGGAAGACGACGGATGGAACGATCGAGGAGGAGAAGCACCGAGTCTGGCCGCGCGTCCTAACACTATGCCAGGGGCGGAAGGCCCGAGGCTGACCATCGATGAAAAATGCGCCCTGCTTCAAACAGGGGAAAAACATAAATCCAGAGTGCCACCGACCGACTGACCTGCACTGGCTGACCGAAGTCCGAGCTCCGCGAGCCCGCGACGGATCGCACAGGTTTGATGGGTTGGCAGGCTAATCCTGCGGCAATTGCGCAGTACTTTCCTCCTGCGATAGAGAAGCGGCCAACGACTCTGAAGTGTGTGAGCCGACTTTGGCCCTAAATGATCTGCGCTCGCATCGTCAATATGATCGGCCTTATGGTCGCTAGTATGTACCTGAGCAGTATGTTTCATACATGCTTCAACCGATGGAAAGATGTGAACGGCTTGGCAATCAAATTGCTTCCTAAGCCACGTGGGGTAACATAACATGTTCATTTGCAATATCCGCAGCAGGCTCAAACGAAAACGGCGCGATCTGATTCATACGAAGCAAGCTGGGCATACTGTGAATTGATTGCCTGTCTTCGTCGGATGTGCAGACTCCTCTTAATATTGCGACGGGCGAAGAATACATGGAACATTCGTTTCAACTACGGCACTACACGAGGCGAGGGCCACTTACGGTGTAACGGAAGAAAGAGCTGGCACATGTCGGGGATGTGTCTGCGCTTGCCTCCTCCCTTGCCTGAGACGAGAAGCACGGGCATCAGTCTGCCCGGCGGCAGTTTCTGCCCTCCTGTCGGGTCGCCAACGCTTCGATTGTGCCCACAGGGACCAGGAGGGAGGAGGCGGAGGAAGGGCGAGGTGAAAAAGGAGGATTCCGATTCGGACTCGGAGCGATTGCGAAGCAATAGATGGGGAGGATGGGGAGCAGGAGAGGAGGTACCGAGGAGGAGGGGCAGGAGGAGGAGGAGGAGGAGGTGAACAACCAGGAAAGGAGGAGGAAGCGAAGGAGGAGGAGGAGGAGGAGGAGGAGGAGGAGGAGGAGGAGGAGGAGGAGGAGGAGGAGGGAGGGGAAGGGGAGCAGGCGATGGGAGAGGAGCGAGCTCCAAAGCCCCCCCCCGTCGAAGGGAGGATTCATGGGAGGTCCTCCTCCTCCTCCTCCTCCTCCCCCTCTCTGCTCCTCCTCCTCCTCCTCCTCCTCCTCCTCCTCCTCCTCCTCCTGCTCCTCCTCCCCCTCCTGCTCCTCCTCCTCCGCCGTCCTCCGCCGTCCTCCGCCGTCCTCCGCCGTCCTCCGCCGTCCTCCTCCGCCTCCCCCCCCCTCCTCTGGAGGCGACGCCGCCGTCGAATCCCAGTCGCCGAGGGCCCCCCCGCGCCCCGCGGCGATCCCGCGGCGAGGGGCGGGGGGCACGGTCCGGAAGCGCTGCGCGAAGGCGCCCAGGGCCTCGGTGCCCGTGGGCCTGGGCTCCACGCCGGGGGGCGGGCGGGGGCCTCCTGCTGCTGCCCGCCGTCCTCCGTCGCCCTCCTCCGCCACCCTCCTCTTTCTCCTCCTCCTCCTGCTCCTCCTCCTCCGCCTCCTCCTCCTCTTCTTCTTCTTCTTATTATTATTGTTATTACTACTATTACTACTATTATTAATATTATTATCATTATTATTAGTATCCTTATTATCATTCTCATCATCGTTATTATTACTATTATTAATATTATTATTATTATGACTACTACTATTATTATCATTCTTTGTATGATTCGTACTCGTATTACTGCTATCGAAGACGCCTACGGCGAATCACCGCCGCCCCCTGCCTTCCTGGAAGCGCCTATGTAGCCGAACGTTGAGGCCAGACCTGCCAAGCTATCGGACCATGTGTTCCCCGAATCGGTTTGGAAAGCCTCCGGGGAACACGTGCGCATCTTGAAGGTCATCGTGGCCGCCTGGAGGGCATTTTGACCCTTTCGGGCCTTCTCGGAGGACATCTTGGAGGGCTCTTGGGCGGTCTTGGAGGCCATCTTGAGCGTCTTAAAAGCCTATTGGGCCGTTTTGGGGGCCTCTTGGGGCCGTCTTGGGCCTCTTGTGTGATTTTTGGGGGCACTTGGGCCGTCTCAGGCCGTCGGAAGCAGAACAAAAAGCAAATGCCACAATCCTTCAAAAATTCATGGGAAATCAATGATTTTGGCCTTTTCGGGCCTTCCTGGAGAGGCCTCTTGGGCCGTCTTTGGTGGGCCCCTGGCCCGTCCGGCGCCGTCGGAAGCCGTTTGGGGGGCCTCTCGGAGCCGACTTGGGGTCCTCTTGGAATGCTCCAGGGCCGTCTTGGAGGCCATCTTGGGCGTCTTAAAAGCCTATTGGGCCGTCTTGGGGGCCTCTTGGGGCCGTCTTGGGGGCCTCTTGGGCCGTTCTGGGGCCATCTTGGAGGCATCTTGGGCAATCTTTGGGGGCCTCTTGGGCCGTCTTGGGTCGTCGGAAGGCCGAAAAGAAGCACATGTTAAAATCCTTCAAAAACCTAAGGAGAAGCAATGTTTTGGGCCTTTTCTGGCCTTCCTGGAGTCCCTCTTGGAGGCCTCTTGGGCCGTCTTGGGCCAGCTTCGAGCCAACTTCGGCCATCTTGGTGAGCTCCTGGCCCGTCTGACGCCGTCGGAAGCCGTTTGGGTGGCCTTTTCTGGGCCGACTTGGGGCACTCTTGGGGTGCTCCAGGGCCGTCTTAGAGGCCATCTTGGGCGTCTTCGAGGCCTCTTGGGCCGTCTTGGGGCCCTCTTGAGGCCGTCTTGAGGGGCCTCTTGGGCCGTCAGGGAACCATCTTGGAGGCCTCTTGGGCGATCTTGCGGCGACCTTGGGGGCCTCTTGGGCCGTCTTGGGCCGTCGGAAAGCCGAAAAGGCGCAAATGCCAGAATTCTTCAAAAACCCAAGGAAAAGCAATGATGTTCGCCGTTTCGGGCCTTCCTGGAGGACCTCTTGGAGGCCTCTTGGGCCGTCTTGAAGGCCTCTTGGGAGCCTCTTGGGAGCCTCTTGGGCCGTTTCGGGCCATCTTGAGGCCATCTTAGGCCGTCTTGGATGCATCTTTGGCCGTCTTGGAGGCATCTTGGGGCCATCTTAGCCGTCTTGGAAGCCATCTTGGCCGTCTTGGAAACCATCTTGGGCCATCTTGGAGCCGTCTGGAACGGAACAACCCTTTGCAACCAGCCGTCCTCCGCCGCCCTCCGCCGTCCTCCTCGTCCTCCTCCTGCCTCCATCCTCCTCCCACCTACTCCAAGTTTCGTAACACAAGGGAGGGGGGTCACAATACTCCAAGACAATAGCTTTAGACCCCCCTCCCCCATGAGACCAACCGTGAATGGGCGGCCGTTTGTCCAGACCCCCCGGAATCTCCAAGACAACTCCAAACAAGGCCCCCAACGAAAATCAGACCGCCTTCCATTTATCATGAAATCCGGACTGCCCTCCCATTCCCGGCCCCCACTATCCTCACCTCCCTCGTCCGCCCTCGTCATCTTCCTCCGCTCCTCCCTCTCCTCCTCATCTTCCCTGCTCTTCCTCCTCTTCTCTCCTCCGCCTGTCTCCTCCTCCTCCTCCTCCTCCTCCTCCTCCTCCGCCTCCTCCTCCTCCTCCTCCTCTCCTCCTCCTCCTCCTCCTCCTCCTCCCTCCTCCCCCTCCCCCTCCCCCCCCCCGTCGCTCCTCCCATCGCCCTGCCCCTGTCTGGGCCTCCTCCCTCCTCCTCCCGCTCTCTGCGAGGGCTCCGCGGGGCCACCCGAAGGGCCACGGCTTGGGCCGCGAAATGACGCTGCCCGCGAGCTGGCCGGGGAGGGCCGCGGCGGGGCCGCCCTGCGGGGGCGACGCTCTGCGGCCACGACGGCAAGGGGCCACCTGCGCAGCACGTGCCGAAGCACGGCGAGGCCGCTCGAGACTCGGGCGCCCATCCACTGGAAATGATGGCCTGTTCGCTGTTCCTGTTCGCTCCTGCTGTTCCTTCGGCCTCCTCCTCCTCCTCCTGCCTCATGCGCCTCCTCCTCCTCCTTCTCCTCCTCCTCCTCTTCCTTCTCCTCCTCCTCCTCCACCACCTCCTCTTCCTCCTCGGTCGGACGCCGGAGATGGTGCGCTCGAAGTGCGAGCACCCAAATGCGAGGAAACACAGTTTCGCTCACGACGCCAGCGCGACTCGCGCACTCGCCGGAGACTGCAGAATGTCCAATCGCGACTCGGCCCGGGGATGCACAACAATGAACATCGAACCTGGGGCGCACAAATCAGAGGCCCAAAGGTCTGCAAACTGAGTCCCAGTGAGACATAGTACTTCCGATAGTGAGTATCGGACCGAACAGAGATGGGCCCTGTGAGGGAGACAGTGAAGGATAAACGTGAGGTGCTCACAGGAGTATTTCTTGATCTGGCTGCGAATACTCACGAATACTGTGCCATCTGCGCAAAGCCTCCTGCGCCCGCGCTCCGTGCAGCTCAGAGCAAGGGTGCTCAGGCCGACGCGGCTGCCGCAAATCGGTCGGGACGTGCAGGGGAGGCTGGCGCAGCCCCAGTTCACAACGACTGCCTCAGACGACGATCAGCAAGACTCTGGACTTATGATGCTGCTCCCCTCGCACATGAGGACAACATCCCAGAAAACGCTCGAGCTTTGGTACTTTCCTGGTGCTCGAAATTTTTTCTGGCGATCAGGGCTAAAGTAGGTTGGAACATCATACCTCTGGACCAACGACCCGCTGAGCGATCCACTGGCAAATGGCCAACATGTCCCTGGGGGAGACGGGTCCTGGACGGCTTGCCCCGGGGACCGTACTTTGCTTCCTGCTTTGCCTAGCACTACGTCGGGCGTGTCACCCTACAGGGGAATGTTGGGCGAAAAATCAAAAATATGAGGACACAAAAAAAACAAATGCCCCCGCAGATGGGCAAACATAGCCAAAAAATCGTCCCCAGACTATTTTTGTTGTTATTTTTGAATCTCCCCCCTGTAGAGGGACAAGCCCGACTTAAGCCTCGCAAGGTCCCGAAGCTCGTGGAGGGCCCCGGGCGCCTGGAAACGGCCAAAAACCGTCCGGTCCGTTTCCCTCAGGACCCGCCTGCTCCAGGGCGAGGTGAGCTGGCGTGGGCACCAGCTCCCCCACTTAGGTCGGGCGAAAGGGGGGGACAGCAAAGGGGGGGTTGGAGAATCAGCTCACGCAGCTGACTTTCCAGGCGCCTCCCGGCGCCGGAGGCGGCTCTATGTATCAAGGAATGGGCCCCTCGGTGGGGCCGAAACCAGCTGCACGCAGCAAATTTCGCACCCCCCCCTTCCCAATCCCCCCCTTTCGTCCAGCCCGACCCACCTCCATCACACGTGCAACTGCGGCGGATTCGTGTCGCGACAACCTGGGCGGTGGATCGTTGAACCTCACGCGACCGCGCAGATGGCGTCGGAGGATCGCCCCGCGTCGCCACGTCATCGGCGATGCATCAGCGCCATCGGCGTGGAGAGGATCGGGCTCCACGTGGAGCCGCATCGCCGATGCATCGGCGATGCGGCACGACCCCGTCTGCTCAGATCCCTGCCAGGATGCCTAGAGCTGCAGCGGCGGCACGAGCGGAACGAGAAATCTTAACGGGGCGGAGCACGGTATTACATAAACTGTTCCACCGTCGGGGACGCCTGACCCCTGGGCGGCTGGAAAAAAAAGAGAAAAAACACCATAAACATAATCTTTCAGCGCTCCGCGCAGACCTCTAGGATCCGCGCCGGACCCCCTCCCTGGCGAACGGAGCGCGTCAGGGGCGGCGTCGGAGGCGCCGCCAGGGGGGGCCCAGGCGCCCATCCAAGAAATCCGCGCGGAGCGCCAACAGTTAATGTTTGTGGCGTTCATTATTCTTCGATTGCAGTGCCACGTAGGGGTAGAAACTTTCCAGCCGCCCGGGGAAAATCGGGCGTTGGCAGAACTGGGTTTAGTGGAACCTGGTTTAGTGATTTGTACCGGGGGCGCCCCCCCGTCCCATTTCCACTAACCGGAACTGCCGTCACCCGAGAAACATCAGTTACGGCAAACCTGGTTTAGTAAATCTGGCCAATTGAGGAGCCTCAAGGCCCTACCACTAACTGGGTCCCCTTGCCCGGGGTCCTGGCTATACCCGAGAAAAAGGCGTCCCCGACGGCGAAGAAGGAGGAGGAGAAGGAGGAGGAGGAGGAGGAGGAGGAGGAGCAGGCAGGAGGGAGGAGGAGGAGGAGGAAGAGGGAGGAGGAGGAGGAGGAGGAGGAGGAGGAGGAGGAGGAGGAGGAAGAGGCGGCGGAGGAGGAGGAGGAGGGTGGAGGAGGAGGCGGCGGCGGAGGAGGAGGAGGAGGAGGAGGAGGAGGGAGAGGAGGAGGAGGAGGAGGAGGAGGAGGAGGAGGAGGGGAGGAGGAGGAGGAGGAGGAGGAGGAGGAGGAGGATCCCCGAGTCTCGGGAGAGCGCGTGTTCCCCGCCTCCCGCCGCGGGGGGCCTG